AGCGAGGAGGAGGAGCGAGGAGCGAGGAGGAGGAGCGAGGTCTCGGAACCTCCCCTGGCCCCTCAGCCACGTTGCCACAGAAATGCAGGAGGCATGGGTCGCAAGGTCAGGACACGAGGGTACCCTTGATCTGGCAGGGCCGACCTACTAATCTGGGCCGCCTCTGATCAAGGAGCCCACCCGAGCACCACACAGATCGTACATGGTGCCATCGACGGCGGGCGACTATCACCATTCACCGGACAACATTGGAACGTTGGCCTGAAGGGGAGGGGGAGGGGGCGGCGAGCTGGGTGAGCCTTCGTGGGAGCCTCTCTGGCCCTCCGCGGTCCGATCATGAGCGTGGTTTCGAACACGTGCCGCCCAGGTCTCGACCACCCCTCTCCGCCCTGTCGTCCAGATTTCGTCCAAATGCTTCCACATGTCGGCCGAATCCGACGACATCCGCACGAAATGACTCAAACCGCAAGGAGTTTGCGAACCCTCTGAGGCTCCCATGAAGGACAACACAACTGAAGGCCTCGCGCAGCAATTTGAGCCCCACTTCACGTCGAGTTTACGTCGGATCTGCGTCAGGCTCACGTCGGATTACGTCGGATCTTGATCGTCGGATTTACGTCGGACGTACGTCGGAGCATCGCCGCATAAACGTCGACCCGTATCTCACAGAGAGGACGGGGAATAGATGGTTCAATTATCGCGCGCCGCTTGAGGCCTCCCGGAATTTTCCTCATGAAAAATTTATACGCCCGGACCTTGAACGTATTGGAAAAATCCAGACGGAGCCATTTGCCATCTTCGATCCCAAGGGGCCCTCGCCAGGCCCCAGGACTGTCAAAGGACGACTCGTGATGAAGAACCTGCCCTGGGGAGAGGATCGGGACTTGAAGGGGCCACATATATCAGATACTTTCACCAAAATCTCCGACGACATGATCTTTTCAACAAGCGGATTTTCCCAGGTTCTGGCCCTCGGGAGCCCGTCATCGAGCCCGAGGCCATCAAAGACGGATGCGGGACGAAGAACTGCCCCCAGGAATGAGGTCGGAACCTCTGGAACCACGCCTCGGCCAGAAACAAAACACCAAAACAAAAAACAAAAACAAAAAGTCAGAAGTCTTGGTACAGATCCACCGCCCCAGGGCCAGGACCAGGCTGCGCCCAGGAGCGGTGCATGACGCCCTTCTGGCTCGGCCAGGGAGGCACGTACCCCGACCTGTGAGCGGTGGGCCTGTGCAGACTTCGTCGCCCAACTGCTGCCGAGGCCGACTGCAACGAACACCCACGAGGACACGAATCCCCAGCCTCTGGCGACAGGACTGCTGTCAGCCGCGGCGCTCGGTTGCTTCATCACGGCCTCGGAGGGCCGCGTCCGGGCCCTGGGAGCATCAAGAACGACTCCCGGACGCAAAAAGCTGCAACTGGGGAAGGGATCCTGCAGCCGAGGCCGATCACAGAGAACGAGGGGGTGGAATGGGGGGCAGTAGCAGCAAAAGTGAAAGTGGAAGTAGACGTAGACGTAGACGCAGACGTAGGAGTAGAGGTAGAAGTAGAAGTAGAAGTACAAGCAGAAGTAAAAATGTAATCAAAAGCAGAAGCAGAAGCAGAAGCAGCAGCCGAAGCCGAAGCCGAAGCAGCAGCAGAAGCCGAAGCGGAAGCCGAAGCAGAAGCAGAAACCGGAGCCAAATAGAAATAGAAGTAGAAATGTAAGTAGAAGTATAAGTACAAATACAAGTACAAGTACAAGTTAAAGTAGAAGAAGAAGTAGACATAGAAGTCGAGGTAGAAGTAGTAGTACTAGTAGAAGTACTAGTGGTAGCAGTAGTAGAAGTGGTGGTCGTATTAGAAGTGGTGCAATCATTAGTACTAACAGTAGCAGCAGCAGTAGCAGTAGTAGTAATAAAAGTGGCACTACAGTAGTAGTAGTGGCAGTGTTAAATGTATTAATACAATTAGTGGTGCAATGAGAAGAAGTAGTAGTAATAGTAGTAGTAGTAGTAGTAGTAATAAGAATGACACTAGTACTACTAGTTTACTAGTTGTAGTACTAGCAAAAGTAGTAGCAGTAGTCGGAATAGTAGTAGCAGTACTAGTACTCGTACTAGTACTAGTAGTATGAGAAGAAGTAGTAGTAGTAGTAGTAGTGGTCACGACAGTAGTCGCATTAGTAATCATACTAGTAATTAAAACTAATAATGTTCGTAGTAGTACTAGTAGTAGTAGACATAGTAATGTAGTAATGATCGGAAATAGTAATAAATAAAGTGGTAGTAATAGATGCAGTAGAGATAATAGTAGAAGTAGCAGTAGCAGTAGTAGCAGTAGTGGAAGAAGTAAACAAAACAGGTTTAATGTTGATGCCACTAGTACTAGTACCCGTAATAGTAAGAGTACTAATGATGCTAATGATCGCAAGCCAAGCAGTAATAATAGTGCTCGTGCGAATGGGGATTATGGTAAAAGCACATGTAGTAGGAATATGGATGAGAATAATACAAATAATACGGATAGACATCGACTACTACTACTACTACTACTACTACTACTACTACTACTGCTGCTACTGCTACTACTACTACTACTACTACTACTACTACTACTACTACTACTACGACTACTACGACTACTACGACTACTACTACTACTACTACTACTACTACTACCTAATACTACTACTACTACTACTACTAGTGGTAGTGTAGTAGTAGTAGTAGTATAGTAGTAGTAGTAGTAGTAGTAGTAGTAGTAGTAGTAGTAGTAGTAGTAGTAGTAGTAGTAGTAGTAGTAGGAGTGCCAATAACTATATCAGGAGCACTCGTAGCAGGAGTCGCCGTGATAGCAGTAACACGAGTAGTGCAGTAGTAGTACGAGTAGTAGTACGAGTAGTAGTAATAAAGGTAGTAGAAATAAGACTAGTAGCAGTTGTAGTTGTAATAATAGTAGTAATAGTAGTAGTACTACTACTACTACTACTAGTACTAGTACTACTACTACTACTACTACTACTACTACTACCACTACTACTACTACTACTACTACTACTACTACTACTACTACTACTACTAGTACTAGTGGTTGGTGCTGTTGTTCCTGCAACAGTAGTACCAGTAGCAGTAGTAAAAGTAGTAGCAGCAGAAGTAGTAGTAGTAATAATAGTAGCACGAATACTAACAGTAGTCCGAGTAGTAACATTAGTTGTAGTAGTAGCAGCAGCAGCATTAGCACTCGAAGTCGCAGTAGTAATCGACGAAGTAGCAGTAGTAGCAGTAGTAGTCGTAGTATTTGTCACAGTAATTGAAATAGTAGTACTAGCAATAGTATGTTCTGTAGTAGACGTAGTAGTAGTAGTAGTAGTAGTAGTAGTACTACTACTACTAGTACTTGTAGTAGTGGTAGTAGCAGCAGCAGTAGTAGTAGTAATGGTAGTACTAGTAGTAGTAGTAGTAGTAGTAGTAGCAGCAGCAGCAGTAGTACTAGCAGTACTAGTACTAGTAGTAGTATTAGTAATAGTAATAGTAGTAGTAGTAGTAGTAGTAGTAGTAGCAGTAGTAGTAGTAGTAGTAGTAGTAGTAGTAGTAGTAGTAGTAGTAGTAGTAGTAGTAGTAGTAGTAGTAGTAGTAGTAGTAGTAGTAGTAGGTGAAGGTGGAAGTAGTAGTATTCGTAGTAGTAATAGACGTAGTAGTTGTAGTAGTAGTAGTAATAGTAGTAGTAGTAGTAGAAGACGTAGAAGACGTAGTAGTAGTAGTAGTAGTAGTAGTAGTAGTAGTAGTAGTAGTAGGAGTAGTAGTAGTAGTAGTAGTAGAAGTAGAACAATAGTAGTTTTTGTGTAGTAGTAGTAGTAAAAGTAACAGGAGTAGTAGGTAGTAGGAGAGTAGTAGTTAGTAGTAGTAGTAGTAAGGTCGAGGGATAGTAGGGTAGTAGGATAGGATAGTAGGTAAGGAAAATCAGAAGGTAGGTAGTTAGGTAGTCAGGTAGAGGTAGTAGGTAGTAGGTAGTAGGTAGTAGTAGTAGTAGTAGTAGTAGTAGTAGTAGTAGTAGTAGTAAGTAGTAGTAAGTAGTAGTAAGTAGTAGTAGTAGTAGTCGTAGTAGTAGTCGTAGTAGTCGTAGTCGTAGTAGTAGTAGTAGTAGTAGTAGTAGTAGTAGTAGTAGTAGTAGTAGTAGTAGTAGTAGTAGTAGTAGTAGTAGTAGTAGTAGTAGTGGTGGTAGTGGTGGTGGTGGTGGTGGTCGTCGTAGTGGTCGTAGTAGTAATAGTAATAGTCGCGGAAGGGGAGTGGTTAGCGAAGCGGTTCACGCGCTTGGATTCCTAGAGCCTCACGGCACAGGGAGGTGTCAAGGTATCGAGGAAAGGCGCCTGGCGGCGGGGCCGAAACCAGCTGCGTGCAGCAGACCTTGTAACCCACCGTTTCCCGATCCTCCCCCTTCGTCCGACCCGAGAGCACACGCGCCCACTCCGAGGGCGGACCAAGCGCCGGACACGAAGGGAGCATGAAGCGCGACAGGCAGGGCACAAGGAACCCGCTGCATCTGCAGGGCCGACCTGCCATTCGCAACTGACCGCAGGGAGGCGTGCCAAGAGAGCACTCAGACTTCGAGGAGGAGGAGGAGGAGGCATCCCGCCGGTTATTTCCTGGACTTCGGCCCCTGGGGTGCCCGTTGTGGGCCCTGCGGCCGTCAGAAGCGGGAAGCTGCCCTCGGGGAAGTGGCTGGCAGAACCCGGGCCGCGGATCGCAAAATCACCTCGCCCGACGCCAGAGCACTGCTCCTGGGCTCAGGGTCGGCCAAGCCAGGATCGGGGCAGGCGATCGGCTTACGCCCCCCGAGGTCCCGATGCGGTGGGCCACCGTCAGGATAGTTGCGCCGCGGAAGTCCTCCCGCAGCACCTGTCGTGAAATAAGGGAGAGCGCGTTCTGAGGAACTCAAGTCGTGGACACCGGCGAGGCTCTCAAGAGGCCCACAAAAGGCTCCCAAGAGGCCCCAGAATTCCTCCCCAGAGGCCCGCGAAAGCCTTCCGAAGAGACCCCAAGAAGCACCCCTGAAGACTCTGGCCCACGTCAGCGTCGTCGTCGCCGCCGCCGCCGTTGTCGTCGTCGTCGTCGCCCTTCAGGGTCGGCGTCACCGGCCCTAAGGCCTTCACAATAGGGTTCTGAGGAAAACAGGTCCTGGACTCCAGCTTCCCTGGATCCAGCTTTCCGTCCTGAGTTTCTCTTGAGCGATCCTTTCAGAAGAGCCCCACGAGGCCAAAAATGGCGAAAAGCCCGAGGACCCTTTTCCCTCAGGACACCCTCTGCTTCGTGGCGAGGCATCAAGGTCTCCTCCGAACCGGTCCCGAGCCCCTCCATGGGGTTCACCCTGGCCATCCTTTCGAGCTGCGTCAAGCCATGGCGACGAGAAACCCCCATGAACTGCTGAAGACGAGGACGTCGATCAGGACCACTCGAGCTTTCCTACGGCGACCCGCCTTTCTCCTTGGAGGCGCCCAGGAGTCTCCAGAGGCCTCGGGGAGCCCCCAGGGGGGTCCCCGGGTCCCTGGAGGCCTCCAGAGGCGTCCGAAGGCCCCCAAAAAAGGCGAAAAGCAGAAACACTGTCCGAGCGCCTCGACCCTCGACCCTTGCCGTGGTCGCATCGGCCCGTTGCCCTCGGACCCTGTCGGTCGGAAACAAGTAAGCATGGAGTGGGAAGGCATCGGAATTGGAGTGGATCTCCGCCCGCCCACTGAAGACCAAGGCAGAGGGGGAACTACTCAACCCTTACCATAAGGCCTCAAGCAGATCGGAATCTGGGGATCCAAAAATACCTCCTTTAGTTTGAACTACCAGGGGGTAGCAGCACCTGCTGGAGCCGCGCGTCGTTCTCGACGTCGACGCTCGCTGTCGCCTCGTCGAAGAGCATCACCGCGCCGCACCGCAGCAGCGCCCGGGCCATGCAGAGCAGCTGGCGCTCACCGATGGAGAAGTTGTTGCCGCCCTCCTGGGGGGGAGATCTTCTGGGCAGATCTCCGACAATATGTTGTCTGATCAGTCTGGGCGTTTTCTCGTCGATTTCGTCCTCTCGGGTACGGTATCGGGCCCCTGGAGCATCAAAACAAGACCCGGGGCGATGAGCTGTCCCCGGGGAAGGGGTCGGAGCCCATGGCGCCGCGGACTGGAAAAAAAACATACCTCGGCGGATGTCAGGGCAGGCAGAAGGCACCATCCATCGAGGTCAGCGGTGCGAAGTTCCAGGCTCGAGGCTCGAGGGGCTCTCTGGAGCGCCCTCGCTGCCGCGGCTGGGTCCGCCTCAGAATGCTGGCCCAGAAGCACCCGGGGCGGGCCCGGGGTGGCTTGCCACCACTCCAGGCAATATGCAGAGGGCATCTACACGAGTGCGCTCCCACTCACCGCTGAGGATGTGAAGTGGACTCGTCGGGCCCAGCAGACCGTCGCAGTGTGGGGGGCTCTGTCCAGGCCGCGTCTCTGGTAAGAGGAGTGGTTGCTGAGCCGTCCCTATGTGGTCGATCCGCGCGATGGCGGCGAAGACGACGGACACGGACGACGACGACGACGACGACGACGACGACGACGACGACGACGACGAGAAGACGACGACGGACAACGGTGCACGGACGGCCTGTGACAACGACAACGACAATGACGGCGACGACGATGACAACGATAACGACAACGACAACGACGACGACGACGACGACGACGACGACGACGACGACAACGCTGACGACGACGCCGACGACAACGACGACGACGACGACGGACGACGGACGACGAACCGCGCACCACGGACGAAGGACGACGGACGACGGACGACGGACGACGGACGCCTGCCGACGGACGCCGGACGACGGACGCCGACGACGACGACGACGATGACGACGACGACGACGATGACGATGAAGACGACGACGACGACGACGACGACGACGACGACGACGACGACGACGACAACGACGACGACGACGACGACTACGACGACGACAGAGACGACGACGACAACGACGACGACAAAGACGACGACGACGACGACGATGACGAAGACGACGACGACGACGACGACGACGAGAGGCGGCCTGAAATGGTGCATGCAAGCACGCCACTGGCCGAGGCTGGACGGAAAATGGGCCAAGCTCACTGCATAGTCATCCTGACCAGGGCCCGGGTTAGACTCGGTTAGACCTGGCCAGGCACGGTGGTGTTCTGCGAGCGTCTTCTGCGTCAAGGTGGAGGGCGACGACGAAGTGGAGGACAAAGACGCAGATGAGGACGACGACGACGACGACGACGACGACGACGACGACGACGACGACGACGACGACGACGACGGCGACGCGTATGGTGACGGCGATGACGACGACGACCTGCGGGGACCTCGGCACGGCTCTCGGGACCTCTGGAGGCCTCACCTCCGCGGAGACGGTGAGAACCTCGGGAGGAGGGAGCACATATATGGAAAGGGAGCAGAAGGACGACAACGACGAGGAGGAGGAGGAGGAGGATGAGTAGGAGGAGGAGCGCGGAGGAAGAGAAGGAGGAGGAGGAGGAGGACGACGAGGAGGAGGAGAAGGAGCAGGAGGAGGAGGAGGAGGAGGAGGAGGAGCAGAAGGACGGGGAGCTCCTCCACCTTCTCGTCCAGCCCGAAAGTGGGGCGCATGCTCGCGATGCCTGCTCTCTCGCAGGCGAGCTGGACCTCCTCGTCTGCCTGTCGGCCCGTCGGGTCCATGTTCCACCGCACGGTCCCAGAGAAGAGGACGGGGTCCTGGGGGATGATGGTGACCAGCTGCCTCAGCTTTCGCAGGCCCAGAGTGGAGATGTCGACCGAGCCGATAGTGATGCTGCCTCGGGGAGAACGGGGGGGATGGGGTCAGCTCAGGGAAGCGCAAGGAATCAGCTGCCTGCCCGGCGCTGCAGGATCGAGGGAAGTGTTCGGCAGCAGGGCCGAAAACCAGCTGCATGCAGCAGATGCCGTACCCCCTCACCCCACTCCCGACCCCCACCTTCCTTCGGGGGTTGCCTGAGGTGATCCTGGCCCAAGGTGTCCCCAGCTTCTCGTGCCATTGTGGAGCCCCTTGGGGTCCTTTGGGCCTCGTGAGGGGCGATCTGGGGGGCCCCCACGGGCACCCCTGGAAAAGCTGAGACCGCCAGCCAGGTGGGCCAGGGCCACTTCTGCAACGCCCGACCCTCTCACAGACCACCCTCCTCCTCCTCCTCCTCCTCCTCCCCCTCCTCCTCCCCCTCCTCCTCCTCCTCCTCCTCCTCCTCCTCCTCCTGACCCAGGGGCCCTCCAGTCCCAGGGCGCAGGATAGGCCCGGGGGGCCCGAACACGGCGAAGGACCTCCGGCCTCGGGGTTGGCGGTTCAAGGATGGTGCCCCGAGGGATGGGGCCCTAAAGGCGAGAGCCTCCAAAGGTGAAGGCTCAGCTTGTGATCCACTTCCTTACCCTCACGCCCCATCCCTCAGGATCCCATCCATTGAACCCCCGACCCGGCGACACCCCCCCGTCCGTCCGCCCCGGCTGCCGGCGCAGGGCTCCACGATCCGCAGGAGCGCCGTCAGCAGCGTGCTCTTCCCGCTGCCGCTGCGGCCCACGATGCCCACGCGCTCCCCGGCGCCCACGGCGAACGAGACGCCCCTGGGCGGGAGCAGAGGGGCACGTGCGCCGCGCCTGCCCCCCCCCCTACCAAGCCACGGCCGTCCACGGCGACGGCGGAACCGAAAACTCACCGGGCCGGAAGTGAGGCCGAGACCGAGACGCGCCGCGGGCAGCGGCCCAGAAGGGCGCAGCGACGCAGCAGCGACACGGCGACCGACCGCACCAAACCGACCGAACGCCACCGCGTGCGACGCAGCCGAGCCGACCGCACCGCGGACACGCTCGCACAACGAGGCAGGGCGGATGTGCTTCGACACCCTGCCTGCCCCTCGACTGTGCCACCTCGGCTCGCGCCCTAGCGCCGCGCGGAGCGCCGGGCGCGGCCCGTCCTCGCGCTCTTGCGCTGCGGCCCCCTGGAGGAGGACAGCCTCTCTGCGTGCGCCCGCGCCCGCGGGTGCCCTGGCCGAGATCGACTGCGTGCGGTGCGATGCTGCGCATTCGACCATGGACCACCTGTTACCAATCGGCCTCAGGCGGTCATCAGCGGTCTTCGGCGGTGGGCTGACGGTCTGCACCAGTTTCTAGCGGCCTTCGGCGGTCTTCGGCGATCTCCGGCGGTTTCTGGCGATCTTCGGCGCGAAAGCTGGATGGTCGCGTTCACCTCATGCGCGGATTCCTGGCCCCAAAACCTGAGCGCAGGCTCCAGGTGCGCCTGGTACCGCAGCACGACGTCCCTGAACTCCAGCGCCGCGCCAGGCCTCGAAGGAGGAGCGAGTGCGTCGCTCGACGAGCACCTCGCGGCCTCGTGGGGAGCCTCAATGATCTCCTCGCTGCGCTCCACCGTGGCGAGGTTACTCTGCGCCATCGCGCTCATGGACGTGAGAAATCGCAGGGATTCCGCGTTTATGATCAAGTAGATCAGGCCGAGGGTGGCAATGGCGGGGTCCACCTGATCGCGGACGAAGGACAGGCACACTGCGGAGACGAAGACCAGCAGGCTCACCAGCAGCATCAGGTGCAGCTCTGTCCAAACGCCCACGGAGAACCTCGTCCATATCCAGCTCAGGTTCGTGTCCAGGGCTGCCCGGAATCTGCCCTCGAAGACGTCGTCTACCTCAAAGGCCCTGATGGTCGAAAAGCCCGAGAGGGACTCCTCGAAGCCGTTGTACATGGGGCTCTTGGTGAGCATTTCGAAGCGCATGGCCTCACGGAGGCTGCAATTCTGGCGGATCCAATAATACCTGTAGAGAGGTAGCGAGGCCACCAGTGCGGCGGCTACCCAGGGCACGGAAATCATGAGCACCGCAAAGGAATTCAATGCCTTGAACACAATGATCATACAGTTCTCCATGAGGACGCCGATCATCGTGTCCAGGATCATCTGATCCTCCCCGAAGCGATTCAGCAAGCGCCCAGACGGGGTACGCTCAAAGAACACCATGGGGCACTGCAGAACGCTCCTGAGCACGCCCGCATGGAGGCGCGTCGCCGCGCGCGCGGTGGCAACGGCACAGGTCGTGCGAGCGACAGCCATGAGGGCCACGCCGCCGAAAAGCAGCACCGCCCAGATGCCCATGTAGAAAGGCACGGACTCGCCCAAGGCATCCTCCAACCAGAGAGCAAGCCACACGTCAGGCCCATACTCGCCCACGCTGAAGGCCCACGTCAGCAGCGCCAGCCCCGCCAGGCAGAGGGGGGAGCCGACGTGCCGCAGATAGACGAGCAGAGTGGACAGGGACACCGCCCCGCTGCGCTTCGCCTCGTCCTGGCATGACAGGAGGAGGGGGGCCCCGGTGGAGACGGCTCCTGGACTCGCTCCTCGTGCTGGGAGTAGCCCCTCGTTCTGGGCCGCTCCTCTTGGAGGGTCCTCCCTGGGAGCCCCAATAACGGCGAAACACCTCAGGACCCCTCTCCTCGCCGCGAGACGTCAGAATCCGATCAGCAGCCTCGGTTCCCCCACATCGCGAGGCAGCCCCATGCCGCAAATGCCAGGCAGCACACGGAGAGCACCGACACGGCGGCCAGGCACCCGCCGAGACCCCAGCCACGAGGCAGAGAGAGGCCCAAGCGGACGGACCAGCAGAAAGGACATACCTGAGGGAAGGCCGAGGGGGCCAGCCAGCAGTTCAGGGTTGTGGATGCCATGACAATGGACACTCTAGCAATCCTATCATTGAATTAAAGATGTGCTTAAAATGTTTACAACATGTTCAATCATGTTTCAAACATGTTTCAAACATGTTTCTACATATTTAAAACATGTTTGAAACATCGTTTAGACATCTGGAAATCCGCCGACCCTGTCGGCGTGTGCGAGGGGCTTCCTCGTCCGAATCGTCTTCGCTGTTCGGATTGACATCTTTGTGTTTTCGTTGTTCGGGTCGTCATCGTTGTCGATTCGACATGAAGTGAACGGCATCATTTCCTCGCCGCCCCCCCTTCTTCCTTCCCCCTTTATTCTTCTTCGGCCGTACCCTCCTGCCGTCATGCCGTTGTAGCTTCGAAGGGAAGCCCCTTCCCTTTGATCCCTTCCCCAGAGGGGCGGGTGGGGGGGGTCCCGGGGGGGGTCCCGGGGCGGGTCCCGGGGGGGGTCCCGGGAGGGGTGGGGGGGGGGTGGGGGAAGGGTGGGGGGGCAGATTCGTTTTTCCTCGGGCGGCCTCGAAACCTCGAAAACACTCCAAATGAGGTCAGAATGCCCAAGATGGCCCCCGAGACGGCCCAAGAGTGCCCCGAGTCGCCCAAAGATCGGCCGAAGACGCCCAAGATAGCCCCAAGACCGTCCAAGAAGCCTCCAAGACGTCCCAGGCCCCCTCGTACCGCGCCGCCCTCCCCCCTCTCGACATCTTATTATTCCTCTTCTTCGTCTTCAGGGTCGGCGGCACCGGCCGTAAGGCCTTCGCAATTATTTGTCAGCATGCTTCCTCTCCATTCATCGACTTCCAACAGTTTAGGGGAGCTCGACCCGAAGCACTGTCGCTCAACAGACTGGACACAGCAGAGCTCCGCGTCCATGCCCATCGACACCTGAGAAAGAAGGCTGTCCGACGCCCCAGGGTCCATCCCGGCCAGTTTCCCGAGCTGCGCCCAGCCATGGCGGCGATAGCCCCCAGGATCGCACGAACAAAAGCCTCCGAAACGAAGACGTGGTCGACGTCGACGCCGGCTCTCGGTACGAACCCCTCCTCTTCGGGCGGCCGTCCTTCGTCACCCGCGATGACTCGCGCATCACTCGCGACGAGTCACCGCCCCTCACCCGCGATGCCTCGCCGTCCTTCCTCTGAGCATCGGCCACCGATCCCCGTCCCCACCGGCGTGGCCGTGGCCCCGCTGGCCGACTTGCCCACCCGGGTGGAGATCTGCGCCTGCTCCCGAGGGCCTCGCGCGGCCCGCCCCCACCTGGGAGGGCTGGCGGGGCTGAGAGGCCACGGCCCCGTGGGGACAGGGCCGGGTCAGACGATGCTGCTCCTCGGGCACGGCCGCTGGGGCTCGGGCGGGGCAGAGCCCGAGGTCGTGGAGTGCTGCAGCAGCTCGTGCAGCGCGGTCCCCCGCCGCGACAGCTCCGCGTAGGTGCCGTCCTCCACGATGCGGCCGCCGGCGAGCACGAGGATCCGGTCCACCCGCGGGTCGCCGAGCATGTGGACCTGCGGGTACGGAACCCCGGGCCAGGAGCCATCCGTGGCCCTGCCCAGGGTCTCAGTCCAGCCTACGGCTGGCCCTACCCCAAGGCCCTGGGGCAGCCTGTAGGGTCCCAGGTAGGCCCAGGAAGGCCTGGGCAGGCCTGGGCAAGGCCCAGCAGGGCTCAGGTAGGCCTGGGTGGGCCTGGGCAAGGCCTGCCTCCCCGGGGTGGACCTGGGGTAGGCCTAGGTAGGCCTAGGAATAGAAGGCCCAGGTAAGCGTAGGAAGACCGCCCTACCAGTCCTACACGGACCTGCGAGGACACCACAACGCGCGAGACGCCCCCGAGGACGCCGCAGAGCAGGCGCTCGAAGACGTGCCGGCCGACTTCCATGTCCAGGGCGGCGAACGGGTCGTCCAGCAGCGCGAGGGCGCCGGGGGCGAACGCCACCCGCGCGAGCCCGACTCGCGCCTTCTGCCCACCCGACAGGGTGACCCCCTTCTCCCCGATCTCGGTGTCGTCGGCGCTGGGGAGCACCTCTGAGCCAGGTTCACCGATCCCTGCCCCCACTGGCGTGGCCGTGGTCCCGCTGGCTCACTTGCCCACCCAGGCGGGGGTCCTGCTCCCTCGGGTTCCGCGGGGCCTGCCCTCCGCCCCCCACCCAGGAGGATGCGCTGGTGGGGCTGAGACACCATGGCCCCATAGGGACCCTGAGATCCGATGTCGTGACTTCTTCGATACGGGGTCCCCGGAGGTCTCGACCCATGTCCCAGGACCGGTTTTTGATCCTGAGTCGTTTTTTGTCGGTCCCGAGGCCCAGCGAAGGCCCCTAGGGGCCGAACTGTGCGAAAAACCTCGATTTCTTCAATACGTTGGATGTCTGGGGATGGAGGCAGGTCAGGCTAGACGATGCTGCACCTCCAGGTCGGGCCCCAGGCCCGCGGCGTCCACCGCCCGCTGGTAGCGGCCCTCGTCCGGCGGGCTCCCGAAGAGGACGTTGTCCCGGATGGTGGCGTTCAGCACGAAAGGCTGCTGGGGCAGGTACGAGACGCCGCCGCCGCGGCCCACGGCGCATGCCGGGGCCACGGCCGCGCCGCCCCCCGCGCCGACCCGCTCCATCTCGCCGAGGAGCGCCTGCAGCAGGGACGACTTCCCCTGGCCCAGGTGCCCGACCACGAACGTCAGCTGCCCCGGCCGGAGGCTCAGGCGCACGTCGGACAGCGTGGCCTTGCCCTCGGACCACGCGAAGCCGCAGCCGTCCACGTGCGCGGCCAGGCCCTCGGGCGGCACGGCGGACACCACGGCACCGCGGTCGAGCTCGGGCTCCGCCATGAGCACGGACAGGCGGCCGATGGACGCGCGGAGGGAGTAGACCATGCCCGAGAAGATGTTCATGAACGTGAAGGGCACTGAGAGGGCCCGCAGGATCTGGATGAGGGCGAGCGAGTTTGGGATGCTCGGCATGCCTCCGTAGACGAGGATGTGGAGGGCGAAGATCGACAGGCCCGCAAAGGGCGGGAGGAGGCAAGAGAGCGGGTGAGACAGCGCCTGGGAGATGCGCATCTTGGTCAGCTCTCTCTCCTCGCGGTTGCGCGTCTTTATGAGGAGCTCCTCGAAGTGCTCCTCCCACGCGCCCAGCTTCACCATCCTCATAGCCTGAAGCATCTCGTTGAGAAAAGACATGCGTTGCCCCTGGACCATCATCTTGTTTGCGAAGCTAGTAGCCTGGACCTTAGCGCACTTGCGCACGCCGAGCATAATGAGCGGGATCCAGACTAACATGACGAGCACTACTGGCCCGACAATGACCACTGCCAACACAATCGAGCCCACCATCTGAACAGGGGCCATGAAAGAAGAACCGAAAATGCATAAGCACAAACTTTCGGAAAACCGCGCTGATGTCTTGAGTCGGCGCTGCACCCACCTCTCCGCAGCGCCTCTGGCGCCGCCGCCTGTGCACCTCAGGCACGAAGGGGTGGGGTCCGACCCAAGACATCCGCGAGAACCTCCGAAAGTCGATGAGTATTCAGATTTCTGAACTTCTGCATGAGGCCTTGCATGAGGATAGCCGCGCCGTTCACCAGCCGGGCGAGGTCGCCCAGCGCCAGGTTCACGAGGGCACCGCGGGGGTGCCTCGGGCGGGCGAATGGGTGCAACGTCCTTGCCCTGCGGAAGGCTACCGTGGCGAAGACGGCGTATGCCTCCAGCGCCGCCTCGCCTGCAAACAGGTTCGCGTGCTGAAGGCACATGGTGTCGATGGCGCACTGCCATGAGAAATCCACAGCCACAGCTAATGAAGCTCTGCCCTGGATCCTGAGGGGAACGGGGGACATGGATAATCGCCCGACCCAAAGGGCGGGCAAATGCCCACATCCACCACTCCGCGATGAGTCCATGAGACCTGGGGCCACGACTCCGAAGCGGTGAATGTGCATGTATCCTGGCGGTGTCGATGGCGGTCGCAGCCCACAGCGCCACTGCATAGCCCAAACTCTCCCAAACAGTGGTCTCGTGCGCCACGAGCTGCTGCGAGATGCCGCGCACCGCGAGCGTGGACCCGAACTTCGCAAAGACGCCGACGAGGGCGATGCTCGTTGCGCAGAGCAGCCTCCCTCTCTGCATGCGCCACAACGTCCTCAGAGGGGGCAAAAAAGCAAATGTTCCCTGCCTCTGGCGGGGCCTCTGGGACTGTGCACGGAGGTTCACGACCGAGGAGTCGAACCTACCGCGTGGGTCCGCAGGCAGAGGACGACGAGGAGAAAAGATGGGAGGTCTGCTATCCTCGCCCCTGTCGGATCGAGGGCGCTCAAGATGTCCAGTACCTGAGCCGAGAGGACGGCAGGAATGACGGGGCCCTGGGACACACAGATGAAGACACACAAATAACAAGATTCCCCACATTTTCTTAGATCTTCCAGGTTTCTGTCTTCCACCCCACTTCCCGTAGTTTCCTATATGTTCTGGGACTCGACGATTCATCGTGTCTGTGTGTTTTTTGTCCCTCCTGAAGGAAATCGGCTACACGCAAGAGTGACCCTGGGCAAGAGTGACCTTTGGTGCGCGGCTTTCGGCGGGCCTCGGGGGGCCAACCCCACGCGCGCAAGACGCTACTATCGCATCGCGATCGGCGATCGGGAGATACCAGTGGGCCCGCACCCAAGGTCACCCCGGCGAAGGGTCACTCTTACGTGTAATCGAGGAGAGGTGGACAGACAGGGGCGACGAGCGGTCTTCAGGCACGGCTCGGGGCCCCTGGCGGGGCCCCCGGGACAAGCCCTCGGCGCGCCCCCGCCGCGCGCCGCGCACCACCTCGCGGGGTTATCGGGGGGCTCGGCGCCGACCCCGGGGGACACCTGGCGAGCCCCGTCGGTGCCTCTCCGGCGGGCTCCCGCCGACCTCGGCGCCGGTCTGAGGTCGGGCGTGACCTCCTACAGGCGGTCTCTGGGCGAACTTCTTTTTTCAACAACAACAACAACAACAACAACAACAACAACAACAACAACAACAACAACAACAACAACAACAACAACAACAACAACAACAACAACAACACAACACAACAACAACACAACAACAACACAACCACAACCACAACACAACAACAACCACAACCACAACCACAACACAACAACAACCACAACAACAACAACAACAACAACAACAACAACAACAACAACAACAACAGCAAAAGCAACAGCAACAGCAACAGCAACAGCAACAGCAACAGCAACAGCAGCAACAGCAGCAACAGCAGCAACAGCAGCAACAGCAACAGCAACAGCAACAGCAGCAACAACAACAACAGCAACAACAACAACAGAAGCAACAACAACAACAACAACAGCAACAGCAACAGCAACAGCAACAGCAACAACAACAACAACAACACCAACACCAACAACAACAGCAACAGCAACAGCAACAGCAACAACAACAACAACAACAACAACAACAACAACAACAAAACGCCCCAAAAATGCTCCAAATGAGTCGAAAAATGTCGACAAATCGTCCGTGGGCAATCTTCTCGCCATTCTTGGATGTATCCCCCCTGCAGAGGCACAGGCCCGGCGGAACGCTGGCCTCCGACACCGCGCGGATCGTGCAGGCTCGAGCGCTCGGCGGCGTGTCGCTCGCCGGCTCGCTCCGCATCGGCCGCCTCTCGGCTGCCCACGGCGCTCCACTCCCCCATGGCACGCCCGCGAGGTGGCCGCCGCAACGCATGGCCACGACACGCCCCGCTGTCTGCTGCTTGTCTTAAAGTCGGGCCTGTCCCCCTACAGGAGGATCGTCGACGATAAACCAAAACAAATACCCCAAAACTACTCAAAAATTGACAAAAAATATTCAAAAAATCGTCCCCACACTATTTTTTGCACTATTTCTTGACTATTTTGGAGGTACTTCTAATTTTTCGTCGGAAATCCCCCTGTACGGGGACGGGCCCGACTTAATGCTTGCCCCGGCTCCTCCACACGGACGCCCTGGGGCCGTGGTGCAGCCTCCAGAAGGCGCCGAAGGCCGCCTCGGCATCGACGCCGGGAGGCAGCGGCAGGTGCTCGTCGACCTCGAGGGGAGGCGTCGGGGAGGGATCGGTTCGGAGGGGGGGAGCAATCGGCGACACGCCGCCGACAGATCGGCGACAGGCTCTCGGGAGCTAATCCTCACGGTCCTGGGCGGGGGGGGGGCTGTCGGGCCCCTTATGGGCAATGAATGGGCAACTGACGGTCAGTGCATCCCCCCATGAGACTATCCCCGTCTCCGGTGATTTTCGGGCCACCAACCAGGCCGCCGGAGGCCGCTCGGGACGATCTGGGCATCACGGGCACGCTCTTGGCGAGGCGCAGCTGGGCAGCATCCCGAGTCTGGAAAGTCTGGAAAGCTGCCGAAAACCAGCGGAAACACACGAAACCCTTCAACCACGAACCTCGAACCACGGAGACCTCGGAGCCGATCCCCACCCAAACGTTGCCCCCAGTTGCGTGGTAATCGACCCCTAGCCTAAAAAATGACTACCCATGTTGGACATGAGTCCCACCAGCCCTCTGGGCATGAGTGGTTTGGAGCGCTTCTTATTATTGGTTTATTGTTATTATTACTAATATCCTTATCATTTTTACCATTATCATTATTATTATTACTATTATTATTATTATTATTATTATTATTATTATTATTATTATTAGTAATATTATCATTATTAATACTATTATTATTAATATTATTAATATTATTATCATTAGTAGTATTATTATTAATACTAATAATAATTTTATTATTATTATTACTATTATTATTATTAGTAGTATTATTATTGTTATTATTAGTATTAGTGGTATTGCTAGTATTACTAGAATGTATACTATTAGTATTACTATCATTAATACTATTATTATTACTGTTACTCTTCTTATTATTATTATTCTTAGTATTATTCTTATTATTATTGATAACATTATTAGCAGTAGTATTATTATTACTACGATGTTTCTTCTTATTAATATGTGTCTTGGTTTTCTTCTTCTTCCACCCCCCTTCTTCCCCTTCGGGGAGGGGCTTGCCCCTCTCCCTCCCCCCTTCCCCTGCGTCTGCAGGGGAGGGGTCGCGGGTCGCTGGAGCGTCCAAGATGGCCACGGCGAGGAAGCCAGAATCATTGATTTTACTCAGGTGTCGGTCTCATTTTGGCCTCCTCAGGGGGCTGACTCTAATTGGAGAGCTCCCCTCCTTTGATCGATATCCTCCTGGATGTCCCCAAGATTGCCCCCGAGGCTCCCGAGGGTGCCCCAAGATGGCCCCAAGAGGTGCCCGGGAGGCCCCAAGAGGCCCCCAAGAGGCCCTCAAGAGTCTCCCACGACACACCCACGACGCCCCAAGAGGCACCCCCCCAGAGGCACCCAAGACGCCCCAAGAGGCCTTGGCGAGAAGGCCAGAATCACCCACCTCACTCCGATGTTGGCAACATTTTAGCCTCCTGGGGGGGACCCTGATTAAGGAG